CTACACATAAATACAACTTCTGAACTACTAGCACGTCCTATCTCCTCCATATACATCTAAAGCAGAATATCTTTATCAAAACCCTGAGCCTTCCTTCACCTGTAATCCTTTATCTTCCATTCATTACTACCTTAAAAGTTTTAGTGAAATCATGGTCCCAAGCAAGAGGCAAACCACCACACAATTTTATCATTTATATTTTGAGGATCTGGGGATGTTTTTCTCTTTTCTATTGAGATAATGTAATGTAATTTTCGACCTAATCAGATGCAGTTTGTAAGCATATTACACCAGACACAATATGAAAGCTTTTTATGTAAATAAGATCAGAATAACTGACTGCAGTGGTAACAAACTGAGGTAGACTTAATTTTTCATTCAAAGAAAAAAACACAGGAAAAATGTCGTTGCTTAATTCAGTTTTACACATTAAAACTGAACCACAGAAAGACTAATATGATTAATAATACATTAATCAGCAGAACAAGAAGAGAAGATATATATATATAAGAAAATAGTGATGACAACACAACCTCCAAATGAGTTTTGGTGATTTACTTTGGTCTATCTTATCTGGGTCTGTGGATTGAACACCATTAACACATAGACAGCATTCAGATTTCTGAAGAACAGAGAAAGCATTGAGATATACCAGAAGTAGCTAATATACTAATTTAGTAAAGAAAAAAAAAAAGTTTCAAGCTAGGCAACACTTTCCCTCAATATAATAAAACAGAGGCTGTGCAAAATCAAAATATAAAATATAGTAGCTATAGAAGTCTGACTTGAACATTTCAGCTTGGTTAGCACTGTAACTAGCAAATTTGTATCCTAGTAATCCAAAAGGAGGACTTCCCTTCCTGCACTGGAATATATGAGGTCCAGTAGTAAGCATGCACAAAGTGACTTGCTAAAGTTCAAACAAGAAGTTCCGAAGACCAAAATACATTTCTTCTCAAAGAACTTAAGACATCAGCAAGGAACAGGACTTGGAACTTTGCTAAAGCAAAAATGTGCTTTCCTACACTGAATAAAACATTGTCAAAATATCAGTATACTGTGAGATGTTCAATGGAACACTGGGGAAAATAAGGAAAAAAACTTAAAATTTTTAAGCTACTTTAAATAGTAAAGCTCCCTCTATAGCCGTTTCTCAAAGCCAAAATATATGTGAGCAAGTCTGTGATGACTTTAACAGATAGCAGCACTGTTTTTTTAATACATTTCTGAGGGACAAAAACCAAAGGAATATTTTTAAAGTAACATATGATATAATTATGGATAAAAATAAAACTAAGAATTCTGTTACATAACTCCCTTTTTCATTCTCATAAAATAATTTATTAATATAATCCAATATGAAAAGTCATAAAAGATCATCTGATTTCAAATGGTGAATTTTATGACTAAGTAAACATCAGGGAATAAAACATTAAATATATCGCTCAGTACCTCTGAAATTCCGTACGGAATATCAACCTTTGTAACTATTTAGAACTGTCAACTACAAACAAATTGTACAGTGTGCATTGTGCCAGATGCAGAATCTTGCTCCTGAAAATAACTGAGCCAGAAAGTATAACCATGTCCATTATTCACAGGCTTACAGATCACTTCGGATATGACCCCTAACTAGTATGTAATCAGCATCATTTGTAAAGTGAGAATTAACTATTAAACCAATATTGCACAAATGTTAGCATTCAGGAATTCTGCAAGTGATTAGGATTGATGCATAAGTATCAAATCAACATACCATGTATCTTGTCCCTCCTTTGACTGTTAGTGTCCTTCCAGAGATGAAAAACTCTACCACTTCTGAATTTGGTGCCTTCACATTTTTTGGAGGTCTACACTTAATCTCAGATTTAGAACATGCTTCAAAGGTATCACTATGAGTAAAATCCTGCACTTCAGTAAAAAGCTTAAATAAAATGGAAGACAACTTCATACAATACCCTTGCATTTTTGTTATTGATGTATATCTTATGCTGAAAAAATACTCTGGGTTTTCAGTATGGGTCACTCAAACCCAGCCTGTAAGACTTGATATGGAAACAGACTTTTAAATTAGCAAATTGGATATCATCAATGGGCCAAAATGTGCCACTAAAGTCTAAATTTTGAAAAGAAACATCATAATCTGAAAACAATTTAAGACACAAAACTTTACTACTGCATTCCCTTTTTCATTTCTGGGAACTTGGAATTTATTCAGCGAGCCTCAAGGTATTAAAAAACAACAACAACAAAACAACGAAAAAGAAAAAAGAACCTAATTAGACATGAAGTAAAAAAGTAACTAGGACTACACTGAGCACAGGAACATTTCTATTTTTAAAAGAAGCATTTCAAACTTCTCAAATACTTCTATCCTTTTAGAATAAGATTTCATTGATCGGATAATATTTAGGTAAACATTTTTCTACAGAAACCAGCAAAATGGAAATCTAAATCAAGCAGCAATATTTGTCTAACATCCTTGGCACTGTTCTTTGATAGCAAGAAACTTCAAATGTCCGCTTGTTAAACAGATAGAAATTATATTCAAAAGAGAGTCAACCCACTTCATTTGCAGCCTTAGGCTTCTTAAGATGAAGATCGGAACCAATATTAGAAATGCTAACTTTCTAGATTTTTTAATCACTATGAATTATGAAAAGGCTTATCACAGCTCAAAACCAGGATACTGTGGGTGCCTGCTTTGATCAAACCGTCAAGTCCTACACAGTTCTTGGCAAAGATTCTTTTCAATTGGGAGTAGCCAGGTACGGGAACGCTTGCATCACATGACTTACAATATGTACACACACAAAAGCAGTTCAAATCAAAGTAAGAGGTTACTTTAGCCAAACAGAAGCTATATCAATTAGTTTTTGCATCAAACAGACAGTGTATTTCATAATAGAGTAAAAAGCATACACAAGTTGCAACTCTTCAGTTTTCTTACTCTTTGCCCTGCAGGAATATGGTTTTGATTTTGCTGTTAGAAAATGCAGCCAGCATGTATTTCTCTCTGGCAAACATTGTAGAATACAGAAGTCATTTTGTGATTAATATTTCTCAATTATATCCCAGTTCTTCCCCTACTATCTTAAAAATCAATTGTATTTGTTAACCATAGGGTGGAAGCATTGCATGTGATAAATTAAACTCAAAGATGATCGAGGTGTAGTTACTCATCAGTAGAAAGATACATTGCATTATTTAGGAATAACCAAATAAACTTTTTACCAGCACTAATATGTTTTTACAGCTTTTATAATACCATTAACTCATGAACACTTAATGGACATTAACTCATTGAATATTATCTGCAAAAATATCTGAATTCTTAGTACTCTTAAACTTGATCCCATTGCACACCAGTCAATTTGTTAGAATGTTACTTGTCTAATAATATGAATGAACTGATGAACTATTCCTTGTCATGTTCAATTTTTTTTTCTTTTTTTCCGAAGGAAAGACAAAAATATAATCAGTCAAAATGTTTCAAAGAGAAGTCAAATGTCCCTGAGCTGTATTTTGTCCTAACAGTAGAGCTGTGGCAAGTTTCTCAGAATCTGAAACTTGACTCAGATTTCCAGTGGGGACAGCAAGAACAGTGAAAGATATCTATGGACACTGATGTACATTATGCAGAATTCCAACCCATGAGACACACTAAATTGTATTGATTGGCACTGTGCCCACCAGGGACTATGTGCCAACTGGAGCAGGATGCAATCTAGCTATTCAGCTTCCTATAATGAGCTACCAATTGCCAAGAATTTGGAGTAAGGGTAAAATCATAAACTATTAATTTATTTTCTATCAGCAGCCTTTCTTAACAAAAGCTTTATGGCAAAAGAGAAAAGGTTTTACAGCTACACTTCTTTTTATACTATTCACTCTCAACCTTAATTAGGATCTCAACTAATTATATAGCATGTGTCATGCGTTGGGATCAATATTAGATATGTTTCATTTTACAAATAAAATAAAAGCTTCTGTTCTGTATTGAAAACTATGTTCTCAAATGCAAATTACCAGAAACTTGAAAAATGTATCTTATCATGGAAACCATGAGAATATAGTAGCCATTGCCAAATCTTCACAAATCTGCCAATAAAACCTTCACACATGATTAGAGTCCATATTTCAAACTGGCTACAAAAGTAAATTCCATTTGCTCTGAATCTGAAGTTAACTTCTTGAAATTGAAGTCAACTTCTTAATGAGTCACCTAGAAAGACCTACAAGTTAGACAGCTTTCCTAAACAAGTATTTTGGAAGAATGCATTTATAAGCCCAATTTCAAAGAGCAATACTACTAGCTAGCAAGTATCTATCTCTTATTAAACACCAGGGAAAACTTTGTGCCAACAATACAGGACATTAAGTTAAAATTATGTGCAAACTCAGAAAAGGTAGCAGTACACTTTTACTCAAGACTCGTTGCTAGGAGTAGCTAATTTAAATATAGCAGACAGTGAGAAAAGACCTAGTCTGCAAGGGATGCACAAAAAATTCTAAACACAGGTGAGGGTCTTTTCATTTTGTATTCAATGTTCCTAACAAACCAGCAACAAAAGCTTCACCACCCTGTGTTTGATTGCCTAAATAAATTGATGTGTAGTTGCTACACAGTTCAAATGGTAAAATACACAAACACTATACACACTGCATAAAGCTGTGTTACAGAAGATAACATTCTCTTCAACTATGATGGCATATGACAACTGAGAGTCAAGTACTGTGAAAATTTTGAGAGATTAGCCCTTAACAATCACTATGAGTGACAAAATTTGTTCATTTCCCACACAAAATAAAAAAAAAAAAAAGCATCAGGAATCAAATGCTAGTGCTACATAGTAATTAAGCATATAAAAGTGCAATTGACCTCAGTTTTGCACATTAAGCTGAATCTTAGGAATGCGCATGAAAGAACTACATTGCGTACAATACAAGTACTTCCTGTAATTTTGGAGGAAAAATAAACAAAAACATTACTTACATACTTGTCACCTGAACCACTGGCTATAAACTTCCCACAAGGAGATACTGCAATTCCACAAGGGTAGGAGTGGCTACCATGCCCTTCAAATCGACGTTCACACCTTCAGAGAAGTTTCACAAAGTCTCATTAATAAAATATAAAGACTAGCTCTTTTACCACCATTTTCATGAAATTCTGCTCAAGTCTCATCATTTTTCTTAGTGTACAAATTTAACTAAGGCAACTACACTAGGTTACAAATATCTGTCATAGGATTTGTGAAATTGGAAAGGCATTAAAGAGTATCACTGAATAAAAATAAAATGAGTGCACAATACTACAGGACAATGCTCAAGCCCAAGCTTTAGCCTTGTTTAGTTTACAAAGGTAGAAACATCATTAGCATTTAGAAATGATACCTGCCATTAAACCTCTATAGTTGGCTACCACAGAACTATATGATAGAATGGCTTATATTGAAATCAGCTTTAGACATCATCCAGTTCCAACCTCCCTGCTGTGAGATGGGCTGCCACCCACCAGACCAGGCTGCCCATGGCCCCATCCAAGCTGTCCACGAATGCCTTCAGAGATGAGGCATCCACAGCTTCTCTGGGTAACCTATTCTGTGCCTCACCATCCTATCTCCTGGAGGAAAGCCAAACCAACACTGCTGGAAGCATGGAATGTTTATGTAAAAGCCAGTCTACACGGAAATTCCCCTCTAGCAACTTCCATTGAATCAAGATGCAGAATGTTGAATCATAATGTAAATAATTACTGCTTCCTCTTTTTTATACTCAAGTCTGGATATTTAATTTAATTTGTGTTGCTGTATTTACATTCTTACTCCGTTAGTTTACTGTGTCTTGTAAAATCAATACAAAAATGAGCTTCCAAAATTATATATATTTGAATATAAATATATCTACAGTACAACTGTAATTAATCTCTTATCTATATTAGTACAGTATAAAGGAAGGATTGCATTTAAATTTAACAGAAGGAATTAATTCCCTATTTTAAATGTTAACACTGCAAGATAGCATTACTATCATTGTGGAGTAAGTTTTTGATGGCTGGGCACACCAGGGCAATATAAGAAAAATTTTAAGTGAGATGAAGATCACTATCCATCTTAGAAAGTCCACTGTAAAGAACTGTGATAGTTTTGTAGTCACAGCAAAACTAAGGAAAAAAAAAAGAAAAAAAAAAAGAAAAAAAGACAATTTATAGTTGTTTCAATGTTAAAAGCCATTTTAACACATGTAAAAATTAGAGCTCCAATCACATTCAGAATTATTTACAAATGTGTGCCTCATTTAAAAGTTTAATTAAATAAATGACTTTTCACACTGTCTGATAGTGATAGGATAAGGGGGAATGATTTTAAACTAAAAGAGGAGAGATTTAGAATTGATATTAAGACATTTTTTACTCAGAGGGTTGTGAGGCACTGGCACAGACTGCCCAGAGAAGCTGTGAGTGCCCCATCCCTAGGGAGATGGGACCCTGAGCAGCTTGATCTGGTGGGTGGCAGCCTGGTCTGTGACGGCAGTTGGGATGAGTGGGGTTTAAGGTCTGTTCCAACCCAAGTCATTCTATAATTCTATACCCACAAGAAGTTATAATTTCAAGGCTGACATAATAATTTGTATTCCTCTTCTGCCTTCATTGTGAGTGCTATCACAAAATCTTTTGCCATCGCTCCGTTGTCACACACTCCCTATGCATGCTAAGTCAAGGAACGAAACTGAAAGAGTAAAACCTGCCAGCACCTGCGATACACAATTTTCCCTGGCCAGCAACATCATTAACATTGCATTAATTGAATCAACTGAACTTGCTTGCAGAAACGTTTATGTTTTTAAACCATTTTGTTCTTTTTCAGATGTATATATGTCTGAATGCCAAGTTGATCTTGTTTACCCGTCTGAAACAGGTAAATAAACAAAAACATTACTGTGTAACTGATTCAACGTATGCTGAACAAAGCACAAAAGGACACTTTTGAGTCATGAAAATGCATCATTTTACAGAGCTTAACTCTCAGAGATTATACTGAGATTCAACCAAATATATAGAAAAAGCTACTGATTTCAGTGCACTTTTTTTAGTATAGAGTAATCAGATCTCTCACCTCAGGTTAGTTCTAATATAATACTGTAAATAGCACAATTTTAAAAAAAATTATGCAGTTCAAAAAGAATTAAAAAGACATTCAATGACTGCGAGTACTACATAAAAACATTCTTTCCACTTCAGTTTCTATATAACTCTTGAGTTCATGTTCAGAGACTTTCAAAAACAAATGTATGCCATTGTATAACCTGCCTCTATTCAAGCTTTCCATTGTCAGAAAAGAGAAACATCAGCTACCTCAGACTTCTCTCCAAAGCAGCACTCTATCACCACATAAGACTCCAAAGGTTAGGTAACATAGAACAAGTAACAGAATACATATTTAAATTAAATTTTCAGAGAGAAAAAATGAACAATATTCATAATTTCTCGGTCACACATGAATATGCCTCCAGGATCACCTTACTTCTTTAGGTATACAGCTAGCCATAAGGATTAAACGGAGTTTAAGGCCTCATTCCATAAATGCTAATTTCCATGATGAACTGTTACTTCTTCATAGAAACATCTACAAGTAAATTACTGATGATCTTGCAAAAGAATTTGACTCTGCAGCTACATCCCGTAACTCACTTCTCTACCTATGAATGGATTGATAAGAAATAACACAATTCCAAGGCTTCCACTGATCTTTTTTTCTGCTACACTACAGCAGTGTAAAACAAAGGCTGAGTCATAGGACAGTACAACTCTTCACCCTTGCTAGTACAGCCATAGTAATAACCAACAACCTGGATTCCATTTTCTTAGTTGTTCCCTGTTACAGACACGTTGTATTTTCCATTATGAGTATAGTTACTTTTCCAATCCTTCAAAATTCTGCTCTAAGATGACAATTCAAAAAAGTGATTCCAGTTAAACTTTCCACACAATCTGGCAGAAATTTTGCTACGCTATCTATTATCTCCAGATATCTCCAGGTACTACAGTGATGAAAAGAAGTGAAAAAAGAAGCTTTTAAAAAATAGCTGGTATTACACACACAATTTTAGCTTATTCTAGGAGCTCACTTATTTCAGCCATTATTTTTCTCCAGTTGTGTTAAGTAGCAGCAGGTGGTGATCAAACTTATTTTGGACACTGCAAGCCTTCCTCAGCCAACTGGCATGCTGTCCCAGCCTCCTGAGAATAAATCTCTGGTCAGAACTTTTCAGGGGTTACCATGGCAAACATCTGGTAATTGCATGGGACAGCAAATAGCCAAAATTTCCCTATGTTTTCCAATGTACAGCTTTTAGACCACTTTCCAAAAGAATGTATCTTATGTCACAAACATCTTGTACAATACTGGGGAAAAAAAAAATGCAACTTTTTTTTCTGTCTTTGAAAGATACTAAAATAGTATATATTGATATATCAGGGAATGTGTAAATGAGTCTAGTTCATTCTTGTTACATTCAGAATAAACTTGTTAGCAGCCCAAAGCTTTCTTCTTTTTAAACTACCTCATCTTTTACTCTGTTACTTTGTCCCTGTGCTGCACTATTTGCTCAGAGAACCTACAACACCAGCAGATCCATTGAGATGCTATGAATATCCAAGTATAACCTGACAGGAGTAGTAGCTAACTCAGATGTACTGTACACATGGGTTTCATTTAAAACACGCGCTGAACTCTTCATATAGGAGCTCAGCATGCTTTCAGCAACAGTGTGAAGCTGAGACCACACATTTCCCATGCTGTATGCCTTGATGCAACCCCAATCCCAAACTTGGAGGAACTCCAGCCACTGCTTATCCCTTTCTCCTTTTTTATCCTCAGATAACACTCAAACATTTAGAGGGAATTAAAAAAAAAAAAGAGAGAGAGAAAGAGAGAGAGGGGAATCATGGGATTCTCATGTTCAGAAGAGACCAAGAAGAAAAAGAAATAATTTGTTTCTTAATGTGCTTTTGTGCATCTTGCTCAGAATATCATGCAGCTAGTGGAGACAGAAACTGAAAATTTTCTGAAAATTGAAAGCAATTCATTTAAATTGCACGTCTGACCCTAATGCTCTCAAAGTGTAATTGTTAGAAAATGTATGAGATGAGTTCCATGTGCCTGCAAGAATTCTCCTGAAGCATGCTGCCAAGGGAGCTTATGATCTAGTTGCACAAGATCATGATACAAGTTGGACATACTACTTTCATGTCAAAAGCTGTCTCGTGTAAAGACCTGGCAAATCATTTCAGAGGCTGAAAGAGGGTGAAACTAATTTTCTCTTGGGTCTTCCACCAAAGCATTGTCATGACCGCAAGTAATCTGCAGGAGAAGTTCAGTATGTTCAAATAAACTAATACTCTTCAAAAATCTTCACTGTGGTCCCACGAGTGCACACTGCTTTCTTCCAGGAGATAAGGAACAATTGCTCCAGCAGCAAACATAGTCGGAGCAGCTGAACTTCTATTCCTTAGCACTTCAGAGTCAGTCAGAGGAAGACTGCTGCTGCCACAAAAGGCATTAATAGCGGTGGTGCCTGGAGCTCCTCACAACATTAGTTCTGACAGTTTCAGTGGTGACAAGAGCAATCTAGTTGCTGCCACGTCTACTTTCCCAAACACAGCATGGTAGCAGCCCAATCCTCTAGCTTTTCTGTTCTCTTCCCACTTCTGTGTAGAAAATTAGCATATCTGATAGAACAGCACTACTGTCTCAATCTCCGGATTAATTCCCAACTTCATCTGTCCTTTTCCATCCTGCTTTTCCAATTACGTCACAGCAGATGTCTCAGCAAGTTCTCCACACTATACATCTCCGTGGCAAGTAAAGAAGAGAAAGTGCTGGTTTCACAGAATTATAGAATGGCTGAGATTAGAACCTCAAGAAGTCATCTGATCCAACTTGACTGCTTAAGCAGGGGCATAGAACCATGCCCAGGAGGCTTTTAAGTATCTCCAAGAAGGGAGACCCTACAGATTATCAAGGCAATCTGCCACAGTGCTGTCACCCCCACAGTAAAAGAGTTTTAAGAGGATTCCTTAAACCCTCCCTTCAAG